TGAGGTGACTTGCCCAAGGGCACACAGCAAGACTGTGGCAGAGTTGGGAATCAGACCTACATTTGCCTTGCCCCTACATCTATGTTTTTCCCACTCTCCACATGGCCCGCCAGTGTGTTTGGCTGCCTCATGGGGAGGGGAGAACAGGACTGGGCAGGCCAGTAGGGGCCGGAACATGCCAGGCTCAGAGGTTGACACTGTGGCTGTAGCACTGGGAGCCACTGAAGGTTCCTCAGCAGGGGAGTGTGTCTGGAGCCAGGTTCCTAGACAATCACTTTGGAGCCTGCAGAGGAGAATCAGGCTCACCTTGGGGGAGGGGGAGGGGGAGGGAGTTAGATGTGCAAAGGACCAGTTAGAGAGTGGTGTGAAACAGGATAACAGAGGCAAGTCTGAGGGGCTCTGGTGGGGCGAGGGAGTGCCTTGGGGTCCCCTGGGAATTAGGAAAGGTGCCTCTGAGGAGGTCCAAGTTGAGCTGCATTTTGTCAGAGCCAGCACAGTTCAGTGGAAAGAGCATGGCCTCCAGAGTCAGGCAGGCCTGGGTTCGAATCCCCACCGGCTTCTCTTCAGTGAGAGACGTTGGAGGCTCGCTCCTCATCAGGGAATGGGAGAGCCCGTCCTAACGAGGAGGGAATGAGGATGCAGTATGCCCGGCGACTGGCTCGCAGCAGTTGTGTAGTGAGGGTTCCCTTCTTCAAAGCAGAGCCGGTCAGGGTCAGAGGTTGATCCGGGAAGCCTGTCCCAGGCAGCAGGTCTGTCGGTGCCCGCGTTAGGCAGCCAGGAGGGAAAACCGATAGATGGCAGGCCTGTGAGCATCCGAGTCCCCGGTCCAGTAAGGCCTCAAGCTCACTGGGTGCGACACTTGGGAGTTTTAGGGGTGCTCACACCCTTTCCTGGGCCCCTCCTTGTCCTCTTGGCTCAGCTTCCTCTCAGACTCCCCCTGTTCTGGGCCCAGAGCCAAGCTGGCTGGGGCCTGCACGGGGTAGATGCTGTAGATGCTGAATAAACGCTTGTTTCAGTAGGTGACACCTCTCGCCCTATCTGTCTTCTTCCCCCTTGGGCGAGAGCTGGCTCTCACATGCGGGGAAATAAATAGCGGGCCACTCCCCCGAGGGAGGTGGGCTGGGGTGGCGGGAGGGCAGTGGTGCGGGCCCTGCTGTGTGGCCTTGGACTCCTCCTTCCCCGCTCTGGCCGCCGGGAGCCTAGGAGAGGGACTCCAGCTAGCCCTGGGACAGGTTCTGATTTTCAATGAGGGTGGGTTCGAGCAAACACCACCATCACGTCTGGTTGTACTGTGGGGCCGGCCTCCACCGGGCTGGCGAGTGCCGAGCAGAGGACTGGAGGCCACAGGAAGCAGTGAGTCCCCGACAGCAGGCCAGGCTGCTCTGTCATTGCTTCCTGCGTGACGGTCTCCCTGGATGCCAGGCTGGTGGGGGGTTTGTCACAGACACGATGATGGTCAAGACACCAAAACAGGAGCTGGATAAGGGGATTCTTGGCTCGATTTGCAGCAGATTGAAGGCTTCTCTAGAATGTTTATTCATAAATGGCTGTCAGGTTCATTAATAAGTAGGTGGATGGCTGCTGGGCAAAGCTGATGTTCAAGATTATAAATGGCTGTTTCCAGTGACCCTGCCATGAGGTGGGGGGAGGAAGCTTAGGAGCAGTGTGTTGATTGATAGTTCCCTGGACCGGATTCTGTGTGGGCGTTCACTGCGGCCAGGGAGATGGCTCACCCACAGCCTTCCTTCAAACGGCTCATGGGTGGGAGGAAGTTCAGACAGTCAGAAGATGGAGTCATCTGTGAGGAGAGGGCACACAGAAGAGGGGGCAGCCAATTCTGCCTGGGAAGTGGGGGACAAAGAAGACTTCACAGATGAGGGATCATTTGAGGTGGGTTTTGAAGGTCAAGTAGGAGTTTTCCAGGCAAAGAAGGTGGGGAACAAGCAGTGGAGGTTTGAGAGGAGATGATGATCCTGTTTTGAACATGCTGAGTGTGAGCCCTCCCCCCACATCGGGAGACTTGTACAGGAGGCAGCAGACTAGATAGGAGTGAAGGGGGCGGGGGGCGTCTGGGATAATGGCTTGGCAGCAGCCATTCAGAGGGGTTAATGAAGCCTGCAGGAGGGATCCAGAGTGTGCAGTGAAAACAGGACAGTGTGGATGCCTGAAGCAGCAGGAAGATGGACCAGTAGGCAGACTGGGCCCGAGGAGCCAGAGAGGCAGGAGGAGAGCAGGAGGGTCAGGGAAGGGAGTGATTCAAGGCAGGAAGAATGAACGGGGACAAATGCTGCCCAGGGGTCAAGTGAGACGAGGCCTGCAAAGTGTCCATAGGATTTAGCAGCAAGGAGGCCTGGGTGACTTTGTCAAGAACGGTTTCAGCAGAAAGATGCGGTCAGAAGCCAGACTGCAGTGGATTAGCAGGCGAGGTGACAGTTGAGCCAGGACGTAAGTGGCAGGTGAGAAACCGGAGTGCCAGCTGCGAACCACTCCTTGATGGCGAAGAGGAGCCGGAGGGCAGTGGCCGGAGGAGGCTGGAGGGTCAAAGGAGGGCTCCCCCCGGAATGGAGGCAGCCTGGGCACATTCCTGGGCTGCGATGAGGAGAGCATGCTGAGGGGATGCTGATGGGCGAGGGGGAATGGATGGAGCCCTCCTGGGAAGACGGGAGGAGCGGGATGCGGGACCAGCTGAGGGGCTGGCCTTTGTGAGGAGAAGAGCTGCAGCAAAGTTGGGAGGTGGAGGCGTGGGACAGGAAGTGTGTGTGTGTGGTCCTCCTGTATTATAGCTTCTGCTTTTTCTGTAGCGAGCTTGTCGCCGAGGGAGTGGATGGAGATGGGCTTGAGGAGCGGGGTCAAGGTCTGACACAGCCCGCGAGGTGGGGAGTGGGGAAGGCAGGGAGCCGAGAAGGGCTGCTGAGAAGCCTGGGTGCCCAGCGGATGTGCAGCCTGAATCTGTGGTGGTGCCAGTTGGCACAGCTGTAGATTTTTTCAGCAGCCCGGGGGTGGGTGTGGAGAAGGCGGCTTGTCACACGGCTCCGGGGTGGGGGACTGGCTGAGCGGGTGTGGTGGGAGGGCCCGGTGAGCAGATTCAGAAGCTGGCAGGCGTGGCACCAACACCTTCTCAGTGGTCCCAATGGAGGTAGGGCCCAAAGTGAGGCCAGGAGGCCCCTTAGATACTATTCAAAGGGAGGAGGCCCGGGGACTGAAGGGTGGCATGTGTGGGTGAAGGAGGGGTGGACGTTGGGAGGGGAGGGGAGATGATAAAAATGAACCAGACAGCTCCTGCCTCCTGAGCATCCGCCATGTGCCCAGCTGTATGCTGAGGGCTTCATGGCCTGCCATCAGGGAGCATTCGAGTATTGTGTCATATTGTGTCAAAAGGAGGTCAGAGAGGCAGAGACGCTTGCCCAGGGTCACACAGCTGGGCAGTGCCCACGCCCCAGTCGGGATCCAGGCTTGCCTGACTCCAAAGATGTTTGTGGGTCCAGAGGCAGAGATGGTGAAGTTCTGGGGAGGGAGCAGAGCCGGTCTTAGGACTGGCGGCTGAAGTGGAGCGAAGGGCCTGGCTGATGAGACTAGACGCTGGGCTGAGTGGCAGTGGAAGGCCCCCTGGACAGCAGTTTCCTCAGGTGGCCACTCTTCATGCCCGTCAGGAAGAGCTGCTCTCAGACGCAGAGCCTGGACTGGGCGCCAGGGGCCAGGAAGAGCACAGCCCTCTTGGGTTCCCTTAAACCAGTGGTTCTCAACCTTCTGGCCCTTTAAGTACAGTTCCTCATGTTGTGACCCAACCATAAAATTATTTTCGTTGCTACTTCATAACTGTCATGTTGCTACTGTTATGAATCGTCATGTAAATATCTGATACCCAGGATGGTCTTAGGTGACCCCTGTGAAAGGGTCGTTCGACCGCCAAAGGGGTCGCGACCCACAGGTTGAGGACCGCTGCCTTAAACGCAGTGCCTGTTGTGTGCTGGCGAGGCTTTTAGAAACAGGAGAGGGCCTGGGGGTTGGGGAGGGGAGTGCCTTCTGGTCTGGGGACAGCGTGGGCTGAGCCCGGTCCCCAGATGCTGTTCCAGCCCCACTTGCCCAGCAGCCCCTACATGAGCTGGGTCTTTGCCCTCTGCACTCGTGCCTGCCCATCCCTGCTCCCAGCCTGTGGGGCAGGGCCTGGATGAGCTCGGGTCTGAGCAGGAGGAGCCAGCTTTGGAGAACGGGAGCTCCCAGCCCCTCCTCTAGCGCTGGTGGCGCTGCCAAGGCCGAGAGCCCTGTGAGGTTGGGGCTGAGGCAGCATTGCTGCTGGCCGAAGGGGCAGTGCGAAGGAGGGTCAGCTGGATGTGGGCACCTGCCCTAAGCCCTTGAGTCTCAGGGGAACTGCCTTCTGAGCTGGGCCTTCAGGTCACAGTCCAATGCTGCCTGGGGAGCCACATCCAGGCCCCAGACCCAGCCCTGGCTTGGCGTGAACCGTGCCCCAGGGGCAGGCTTGCGGGGTGGTCACAGCTGCCCGGCTTGGGTGTTTGTCAGCCCTTGGAGTCAGCCATGTGAGGGGAAAGAGCGTGAGTTTCCGGCTCACCAAGTTGTGTGGTCTTGGACAAGTCACTTCCCCCTCTCTAGCCCTCAGTTTCCTCATCTCTAAACCGAGAGGGGGTCCCTACTTCCCTGGGGAGGATTAAAGAGATGGGTGTGGCCAGCACGGCACAGAAGTCTCCCAGAGCTCACGAAGGAGTGGCCACTCCCCTCCATGCTCCCCAGTCTGCCTGAGGCAAGAGGAGGAAAAGAAAGTTGTGAGGTTGTGGGCGAGTCCTGTGTGGCCTTCTGAGCCTCAGTTTCCTTATCTGTAAAATGGTGGTGGTGGGGCAGGGGGCAGGACTTGATGCTCTCTCAGCATCGTCTGCAGTTGGTTCCAGACCCTCAGGCTGAGGGCGAGCGAGGCTGCCCTCTCTGTGCCATTCTGGCAGGACGGAGCTGGCCTTGGCTAAGCCCCTGCCACCACCTCCGTGTTCCAGGTGAGGAGCCGGAAGAGGAACCAAAGGTGAAAACCCAGTGGCCGAGGTCTGCAGATGAGCCTGGGGTATACCTGGCACAGACAGGTAACTCGGGCCCGCCTCCCTTCCTCTGCGGCGGGGGCCCGACTGTGTGGCTTCCGGTGGCATGTGTGCTTGGCATGTGCCCGTCTGTGTCTATGTTCCGGAGCTCAGTCGCATCTTTCTGCCACGTGAGGCCTGTGGGCAGGGCTGGGTTGCCTCCTGAAGGGCTTGCCACTTGGGGTCAGGGTAGGAGGATTCCTATGAGACTGGATGCTTGGAAGGTGCCCCCTGCCGCCGACGCTGCCCCTCTCTTGTAGGTGACCCAGCGGCTGAGGAGTGGTCCCCGTGGAGCGTGTGTTCCCTGACGTGTGGGCAGGGTCTGCAGGTGCGGACCCGCTCCTGTGTGTCCTCCCCCTATGGGACCCTGTGCAGCGGGCCTCTGCGGGAGACCCGGCCCTGCAACAATTCAGCCACTTGCCCAGGTATGCCCATCCTCCCCGCACGGTCTGCCCGCAGGTGAGGGCCCCCCTGGGACTTGGGCAGGTCAATCTTCCTTTCGTTCAGCAAATCTGACTGTCCCCCACGCTGTGCCTAGCCCCACCCAGGGCACTGGGGACATAGATGGATCAGACCAAGGCCCACACCAGTGGGCTGGGTTCTGGGCACATCACTCCCCAGATGCCTGGGGCCTGATAATCAGCTTATCTTTTTACCCTCTTTGCCCTTCGTGTTCCCTATGCTCTGACCACACCAGCACCCCTGCACTTTCCCACTGCCCTGTATTTCCTTATTCTTGTCCTATTCCCCACCGTTCCCACCAGGACTATTAAAATTCAGCCTGTCATTCATGATATAAGACAAATGACCTTAAAAAAAAGAAAGAAAGAAAGAAAGAAACCGTCCCTGATCATCCCTTCCCTCCTCTGATTCCCCACCCCACTCCCCAGGGAGCCTCCTGTGGCCCCCGAAGCCTTCCCCAGTTCAGCATGGAGCTGAGAGTGTGCATGTGCCTGCTGGGAGGGGGAGTCCTGGGCTGGGGCCGCTGGCGCAGTCCTGCTCCTCACGCCCTGAGGGAGTGCAGTGGTGCCTGGCCTGGCTGTGGAATTAAAGTAGGGCTACCTGGGAAGGGGGACTTAATACCTGGGGGTGTGGCAGAGCTTGCAAAGGGCTGGGGCAAAGCTGTGTTCTGGAGTGAGCTCTTGTGTCCGTGTCCACGTAGAGGTTCACGTCTGTTTGTGTGTCCATGCGCTTGGGGCCAGAGGGGCACTTCTGCTCCAGGCCTGCTGTGTTGGCTTCTGGCTCTGGGTCTGGGGGTGGGAGGGATACAGTAGGGTAGGGTACGTGTAGGTCTTGAGTCTTTGCCTGGTCTTCCCTGTGCTCCCAGGAGAGGATCCCCTCCTCCCCTTCTGGGCCGATCCCAGGCTCCTGTCTGGGTGTCCAGCGTGAGTTGGGACTATAAACTGTTGTCATCCACACCTCCCGCCCCCCCAAAGGGTGGGTCCAGGACAGAGCCAATGAGGAGCGGTCGCAGAACTGCCGGAGCTCCTGATTGGTGGGTGGATGGGCAGTGGGCGGGGCCAAGGTGCAGCCTAGCCCCCAGCCACGTGCTTCCTTGCAGTGCACGGCGTGTGGGAGGAGTGGGGGTCCTGGAGCCTGTGCTCCCGCAGCTGCGGGCGGGGGTCCCGGAGCCGGATGCGGACCTGCGTGCCCCCCCAGCACGGCGGCAAGGCCTGCGAGGGTCCCGAGCTGCAGACTAAGCTCTGCAGCATGGCTGCCTGCCCGGGTCAGTAGCGCCCAGGGGCTTCCAGGCGGGCGCTGCCCAGCCGGGTGGGGGTTGGGGTCGGGAGACTCGGAGGAGGCAGTCACGTCCCGTGCCCTGCCTCTGGGGGCCCCATGACCAAGCATGGGGAGACGGTCAGCGGGGGAGGTGACCTGGCCCAACCCGGTTGGAATTGGCATATGGTGACCCCATCCTTGGGGGTCTGCTTGCCAGTGCCCTTCCCCCGAGTCCTGGGCTACCCTTGCTGTTCATAGCGCTTTGGTGCTCATGGCCTCCTGGGCTGTGGAAGGACACGAAGCTGGGCCTAAGTTAGAGAACGATCGATCAGAAGGTGGCCCGTTTCCCCAGCCAAAAGAATGTGTGCCTCATGCTGAGTGGAGAGGTGCCTTGAGTCCTTGGAGCTGGTGACAAGCAGGCGGTACCCAGCCCCGGCACCACCTGCTCACTCCAGCCCCCTTTCACCCTCCACTCCCCCCTCTTCATCCTCCCCTCTCTAGTGGGTTTGGCCTGACTCTAGTACCAATGCTAGCAGGCCCTGCCATCTCCCTGCGGTGCTCTGCCCCCACCAGTTCCCACACCCCTCGCTCAACGGCCGCCCCTGCTTGTGTCTCCCCATGCAGTGGAAGGTCAGTGGCTAGAATGGGGTCCCTGGAGCCCGTGCTCCACGTCCTGTGCCAACGGGACCCAGCAGCGCAGCCGGAAGTGCAGTGTGGCAGGTCCAGCCTGGGCCACGTGTCCGGGGGCCCTCACTGACACCCGCAAGTGCGGCAACCTTGAGTGTCCCGGTGAGTGCTTGCAAGGGCGGCAGGTGGCCATTCCGGCCCTGGGGGCACCTGAGGCTGTTCAATGCCCCCCCTCTCCTATAGCCACAGATGGCAAGTGGGGGCCATGGAACTCGTGGAGCCTGTGCTCCAAGACGTGTGACACGGGCTGGCAGCGTCGCTTCCGCATGTGCCAGGCCACGGGCGCGCAGGGCTATCCCTGCGAGGGCACCGGAGAGGAGGTGAAGCCCTGCAGTGAGAAGAGGTGCCCAGGTATTGCTCGCAGGACCCTGGGGGCTGGGGAACAAGCATGTGGGCCTGGCTGAGCCCCGTCCCTGTACCCACAGCTTTCCATGAGATGTGCAGGGACGAGTACGTGATGCTGATGACGTGGAAGAAGGCGGCTGCTGGCGAGATCATCTACAACAAGTGTCCCCCCAATGCCTCAGGTGAGGGGCAGGTGCTCCCCCTCAGGCCCCCACGCCTGTCATTCTTGCTGCCCCCTTCTGGGTTTCCAGCTTCTTGGATCACCCTGAGGTGCAGAATGAAGTGGGTGAGAGCTCAGCTCCCACGCCCAGCCCTCTGTCCTGTCCCCTGCAGGGTCTGCCAGCCGCCGCTGTCTCCTCAGTGCCCAGGGCGTGGCATACTGGGGGCTGCCCAGCTTTGCCCGCTGCATCTCCCACGAGTACCGCTACCTGTATCTGTCAGTGAGTGTTCCCTGCTGGGCTGGGGCCGCACAAGATCTACCCCAGATGCTCGTAGGGGGCGGAGGGAGTTTCATTCTCACACATGCCCATGTGCCTTGGCATATATACGCTGTGCTCACTTCTGCCTGGCTGTGCCTCTCCTTGTCTGGCAAACTCCTACTCATATCTCAAGGCCTAACTCTCATGAGTGTTCCCTTATCCCTGGTGCCTACCTCTGTTCCTTCAGCTTTTCAGTCATTAAGTGTAATGAGTGCTCTTCAGTCATTAAGTGTAATGAGTGCTGTCCTGCTAGACTGGGAGCTCCTTGATGGCCAAGGGACAAAGTTGAATTTATTTTTGTGTCCCCAGTGCCCAACTTAGGGCCTGTCTCGGGGTAAGAATGTTGTCAGTGAATGTGGCCTGTGTGTACTTGCTTGTCTGAGTATAATTGGTATTAGTTCTGTGCTTGCGTTTGGAACTTGTATGAGAGAGAGAGAGAGAGAGAGAGAGAGAGAGAGAGAGAGAGAAGGAATATGAATATAAGGAGCTACACTCCAGAGAGAGAGAGAGAAGGAATATGAATATAAGGAGCTACACTCCAGAGAGAGAGAAAGAGAGGATATGAAGATGAATATGAATATAATGAGCTACAGTCCAGAGTGCGCCTGACCCTTTTTGGGATGGGGGATACCCTATCCTGTATCACGCTTATCATCTTTATATGTACATCTGAGCACCTTCCTTCACTAGCTATTTCTCTTTTAGCCTTTTAAAAGTATCTTTAGAGATTCTCTCTATGGGTCTCTATGGGTCTCTTTCTCCAACTCTGTCTCTCCATGAGTTCCTTTGAGCATCTCTGCCGGCCCCCCCAGCTCCCCCCGCGTCTCTTTCCTCCCAATGCAGACATTGGGCGGCCTGGAGTGGGATGGGCCCGGGGTGGTCCCAGCTCCCGACACTCCGATGACAGCAGCCCACCTGTCCCCTGCAGCTTCGGGAGCACCTGGCCAAGGGGCAGCGCATGCTGGCGGGGGAGGGCATGTCGCAGGTGGTGCGCAGCCTGCAGGAGCTGCTGGCCCGGCGCACCTACTACAGCGGAGACCTGCTCTTCTCTGTGGACATTCTGAGGAACGTCACTGACACCTTCAAGAGGGCCACCTACGTGCCCTCAGCTGATGACGTGCAGGTACCTCCCTGCCTGGCTGGAGGGAAGGAAGACCGAGGGAGCGGAACCGCCGGACTGAACGACAAGTCTGGGCCCCGATGGCAGAGTCCGCTGGGGGTGGAAGTGTGGCTGGGAAGTGTGACGGGGACGCTCTTGGCCCTGGGGCTTCCTGACACTCACTGCTCGCCCCCCAGCGCTTCTTCCAGGTGGTGAGCTTCATGGTGGACGCGGAAAACAAGGACAAGTGGGATGATGCTCAGCAGGTGAGGGGCTAGGCTTCTAGGTTTCCTGCCCCATGGCTCACCTCTGTCTTGGACCCTTACCTACCTCCTGTCCCCAGGTGTCCCCTGGCTCTGTGCACCTGCTCCGGGTGGTGGAGGACTTCATTCACCTGGTGGGCGATGCGCTCAAGGCCTTTCAGAGCTCCTTGATTGTCACGGACAACTTGGGTACAGGAGGCTGGTGGGGGGAGTGTGCTGGCTGTGGAACCCAGGCCCCCATGGAGGAGGGGTGGGTTCTGAGGGTCACCCTCTCTTGGGCCCTGTCTTTTCCGTATTTAACTCCTTATTTGTATCTTTCTCTCCATGTTCCTTCCCCTCCTTCGTCTCTGTGTTGTGTTTCTCTGTGTGTGGGTCTCTGCACCTCTGGGTTGGTACCGATCTTGGTGTCTGCATCTGCTTTCCTGGTGTGTGTCCCCCACATGTCTCTCTCCTTTGTGCCTGCCCTCTATGTGTCTGTCTCTGCTGTCCCCCGCCCCGTCCCCCTGCAGTGATCAGCATTCAGCGAGAGCCCGTCTCGGCAGTGTCCAGCGACATCACATTCCCCATGCGGGGCCGCAGGGGCATGAAGGACTGGGTGCGGCACTCCGAGGACCGCCTCTTCCTGCCCAAGGAGGTGCTCAGCCTCTCCTCCCCAGGGAAGCCAGCTGCCTCTGCAGCTTCCAGCAGCCCTGCCAGGGGGAGGGGCCCAGGAACAGTGCCCCCTGCTCCAGGCTACTCCCATCAGCGCCTCCTCCCGGCAGACCCCGAGGATTCTGCCTCCTACTTTGTGATTGGTGCTGTGCTGTACCGCACCCTGGGCCTCATCCTGCCGCCCCCCAGGTGAGTCCCTGGGAAGGGTGGAGGGGGGTTCCGAGGGACCAGGCAGTTCCAGGAGAGAGGAGGCGGACCGAGCCTGTGCCGGCCACAGAGAGGTCCAGCTGCACCCTCCTGCAGCCTCAGGGACCCCTCGCCTGGCTCTGCATACAGGTGCTTCTCAAAGATGTCTATGAAGCTCCCAGAGGCTTCCCTGCGGTTCAGGGGGTGTTGGACTGAGCTCCAGATCGCACCCGAAATCCTGGGCCCCCCTGAGCTCTAGGCCTCTCCCTGGACTTGACCCCTGGCAGCCCCCTACCCCCATCCAAAGCACTTTCGGGGTTCCTGACTGGGCCTGGGCACCCGCTGGCAGGAGCTGACCTCAGAACCTGTCCCCAGGCCCCCACTGGCCGTCACATCCCGGGTGATGACAGTGACTGTACGGCCCCCCACACAGCCACCAGCTGAGCCCCTCATCACAGTGGAGCTCTCCTACATCATTAATGTGAGTGGGGGCTCGGCAGGACCCTGGGAAGACCCCAACGTGCGCGGCCAAAGGCCTATCTGAGGGGGAGGTGGTGTGCACAGTGGCAGGCTGACCCTCTGGCCTGTGGGGCTTGCGTGGCAGGGCGGGTGGTGGTCAGGGTGGTGAGCCCCCGGCCCACACTGCACTCATGTCTTCTGCTCCCCAGGGCACCACAGATCCCCACTGCGCCAGCTGGGATTACTCCAGAGCGTGAGTTGGGCAGGGGCTCTGTGTGGAAGGCCAGAGGGCTCCTTGGTGCCATCCTTGGCCTAAGGGATGAAGGGCTCTCAACGGCCTGCCTTTCGGATGGCCTTGCCCTGGAGCACCTCTTTGGGCAGAGGCCAGTGCTGGGGGTGGGGCCATGAAGCTGGGCTGGGGCTCATTCCACCTCTCCCCCCACCTAAGAGATGCCAGCTCAGGGGACTGGGACACTGAGAGCTGCCAGACCCTGGAGACCCAGGCAGCCCACACCCGCTGCCAGTGCCAGCACCTGTCCACCTTTGCCGTGCTGGCCCAGCCGCCCAAGGACCTGGTGAGTCGGGGGTGCCTGGGCTGGGCCGGGAGGAGGCCCCTGGGCTGCCAGTGGCCACCTGTGACAGTGTCGGAAGGGACCCGGTGACCCCACATGTGTGTCTGAGCAGCTGTACTTCTGGGACTGCCCATGGAAGTCTGTGCCCTTGGGATGGTGCTCACAGTGATGACATGTGCCTTGGGGTGTGTGGCGGTGGGCATTTGTGAGTGTTACACACATGTGCGTATCTGGTTGAATGTGCAAGAGTGTGGGTGACTGAGCATAAACATGCCTCCACGTATGTGACTGGGTCTGCTCTGTGTACCTGTGAGGACAACGGTGAGTCCCCTTCTGTGTGTGGCTGTGACAGCGGCACAGGAGCCAGTCTCTACCACACAGGGAGTGGGGAGGTGGAGGGCAGCCCTGCCACTGCCGGTGACCCATCTGATCATCTTCCCCAGACCCTGGAGCTGGCGGGCTCCCCCTCGGTCCCCCTGGTGATTGGCTGTGCTGTGTCCTGCATGGCGCTGCTCACCCTGCTTGCCATCTACGCTGCCTTCTGGAGGTAGGTGGGATGCTGGGACGATGGCGTGGGAGGGGACCAGTCATCCCAGGTTGGGCTGGGACAGCCAGCTCCTCTGTCTCTGCCTGCTGTCCCCGCAGGTTTATAAAATCTGAACGCTCCATCATCTTGCTCAATTTCTGCCTGTCCATCCTGGCGTCTAACATCCTGATCCTAGTGGGCCAGTCGCGGGTGCTGAGCAAGGCAGGTGCAGGCTCCGGGGTATCAGGGAGTGCACGTGGGGTGACGGGGGGTGAGGGCAGAGAGTGTTTGCAGGTGATGGCGCGTGCGTCTGTGTGTATGCACCTTGGTGATGGATGTTGTTATACACTCCAGCTGTGTGTTGGGTGAGGGTGTGGGAAATTGTGTGTGAGCATACGTGCCGGCGTTGGAGAGGAGGGGGGTGTGTACTCGAGTGATGTCTGTGTACATCTGTGAGTGTCTACGCGAGTCAGGCGCCTGTGTGCACATGTGTGGGCGGGTGGCATTTGTGGAGCCTGAGCCTTCTCATGTCTCTGGACACGGAAGAGCCTCAGCCAGGCCTTTTGTGCCATCTGCCTGTGGGTGACCTGGGCTGGCGGTCCCTTATGCCCCCCTCAGCCTTCTCTGCACAGGGCCAGCACCGTGAGTGCCAGGTGTGGGGCCCGCCCGGCCGTGACGCAGCAGGCGCTCCTGTCTGTCCCCCTCCCTGCCAGCCCCATCTGTGTGTGGGCAGCCTGCCCGACCGCCTCTCGGATGCTGAATGCTGTGTGCATGTCACCAGGCCTGTGTCGTGCTGTGTGTGGGTGCAGGAAGACGGGGGTGCCTGGCAGGGCTCTGTGGGGGGCGGAGCTCAGGTGGGCAGCTATGGCAGCCCAGCGCGGGGCGTGGGAAGCCTGGCGCCTCCCACCCTGGCTGCTGCTCAGGGCCACTCCCTCCTTTTCCTCTCCTTGTAGGGCGTGTGCACCATGACAGCCGCCTTCCTGCACTTCTTCTTCCTCTCCTCCTTTTGCTGGGTGCTCACTGAGGCTTGGCAGTCCTACTTGGCCGTCATTGGACGGATGCGCACCCGCCTTGTTCGCAAGCGCTTTCTCTGCCTGGGCTGGGGTGAGCAGGGCCCGTGCTGGACTCTGCCAATGGGCGTCGGGGGCAGGGGCAGCAAGATAGGTTCAGCTTCAGCCATGGCCCCTTTCTGTGGGCACAAGAGACACCTGGGCTGGGGTCTGGGAGGATGAGAGGTCCCTGAGGACTGGCCGTCTCAATCTGGCTCCTCTTCTCCCCCAGGTCTGCCTGCCCTGGTGGTGGCCGTGTCTGTCGGCTTTACCCGCACCAAAGGATACGGTACATCCAGCTAGTACGTGGGCCTCCCGTCGTGGGCAGTGGGGGTTACTGAACCTGTTAGGGCCCCAGACAGGGCCTCCGGCCTTTCAGGCTGTACCTCTGGCCCACACCCGCTGTGGGGCTTTGGGCAAATCCTTCCCCATCTCAGAGCCTCAGTTTCCCTGGTTGTAAACGGATGTGCTGGGATTGGCTAATCTCTAAGAACTCTCTAGTTCAGGGGTCTGCCTTGTTTGATCCCCAGGGGGCTGGGCTTGATGGTCTTCACTTTTGTTAGAGGGGAAACTGAGGCTTGGCAAGAGCCAGTGGCTCCTCTAACGCTGTCTGGGGCTTGGCCTCATTGCTGATGTGGGCCCGGCAGCTCAGCAGGCTCTGAGGGATGGCATTTGAGGGTGGGGAGGAGCCTGCTCCGGTGTCTGATACTCTCCCCTCCTCCCCCAGCTGCTGGCTCTCCCTTGAGGGTGGCCTGCTCTATGCCTTTGTGGGCCCTGCAGCCGTCATTGTCCTGGTATGTGCCCCTTCAGTGTCCCGGGAGGGATGTGGCCCCAGGGGTCGACTCCTCTCTGCACTCCAGCTCCCACCTGGGGCTTTCCCTGCCAGGAGGGCACCTGGTGATCCTGTCTCCCTCACCCCACTCCACGGGGCCCCCAGGTGAACATGCTCATCGGAATCATCGTCTTCAACAAGCTCATGGCTCGAGATGGCATCTCAGACAAATCCAAGAAGCAGAGGGCCGGGTAAGGGGGCGTCTCTGTGACCTGGCCTTGTGGGCAGTGGGATAGGGAGGGAGGGCCCTGGCCACTCTTGGAGCCAGGGCTTGACCATGCGACTGACCGGGGCTCCCTAACCTTGGCGTGTCAAGGGTGCCGGCCAGGTGGGCGCCCGGAGTGCTCAGCTGCAGCCCCTCGCCCGCCCTAACCCACCTCTCTCTCTCTCACCTGCCCTCCCCTCCCACCCTGCTCTGGGGCTCACGCTGCCCCTCTCCTCCCACTTCCCATGTGTTTCCCCCCTTCTCCCGTGTCTGTGCTGCCCCCGAGGTTGGAGCGGTGCCCCTGGGCCAGCCTGCTCCTCCCCTGCTCAGCGTGTGGAGCGGTCCCCAGCCCCCTGCTCAGCTCAGCCTCGGCCAGGAACGCCATGTTAGTTGTGCCCCACGGGGGGGCGGGGAGGTGGGTGGGCAGTGACCTTGGTGGGGGGAGGAGGGATATCGGCCCAGTGCCCTGGAAAGCTTGGTGTCCAGATGGCAGAGGGTATCGGGAGTGAGTGTCTGTGCTTCCTGGAAAATGCTGGGTTCCTGTGCCCACCCTTTGTTCCCACCCCTGTGCTCACTGCAGCTTAGGTTTCATCCAGGCCCAGCTGGAGACCCCCTTACACCTCCGCCTGCAGAAGCTCATAGTCCTTAGAATTTTTGAGGCCATAGAACCTTCGAATTAGAATGATAGAGTCTTAGAATAAGATAGTCGGAAGCTAAGAAAGTTAGAATGTGAATCAGAGCCTTAGCGTCTGTCATGGAATCTGAAAGTTAGAATTTTAGAGGTACTGAATCTCAACCAGTTGGGAGATAGAGAATCTTGGAGGCAGAGAATTCTGTCATTGAGATACCCCTGTCCCTGGTAGCTGAGAATCTCAAAATGTCAACCATGCACAAATCCACAAGGGCCTCAGGGCTAGCCTCCCGCTCAGGGCCAGGAACCCGTCTCGTCCTCCCTGACCGGCGGGGTCCAGCTTTATCTTGCACGTTTCCAGGGTCAGGAGGCAGGGTCACTGCCTCTGGAGGCGGCTGGCACCATTTCTGGGAAGCTCCGTGAAGTAGGAAGCTCGCTGTCACTTGGGCTGCCAGCTGCCTCTCTGACCCAGGCTGTCAGAACTAGCAGTTAAAAGCCTGGGCTTTGGAGGCAGCCAAACCGGGTTTGCATCCCAGCTTGGTCTCTCTGCCCAGCTGGGCACACTCCAGTTTCTTCATCTGTAAATTGGGATAATAATCCCCATGGCTGTTTATTGGAGTTGTTTTGATCACAGTGTGAACTAATGTATGTAAAGTGTTCCGCGTAGGGCCTGGCAGAGAATAGGTGGCTAATCAATGGCAGCTCTTATGACTGTGATTAGGCCTCTCTTGGTCTTGGCTCTGCCCTCGGGGGCTGTGGAGACCACAGTGCCTGCCCCCACGCCAGGCTGAGCAGCTCCCCACCACTCTTCGAAGGACAGATCTTGGCCCCCTGCCCCTCTTTCTGCCTTGTCCAGAGCTGTATATCCCCCCTTGCCTGACTCTTCCACCTGGGGTGTTCATGAGGCAGAGGGGGCTGGGTATGGCACCTGGCCCAGCAGGGCCACACTGCCCTCCTGCACCCATGAGGGCGGTTGGTGCTGGTAGCTGGATGCAGGGCCCATCTGCCTTTTTTCCCCTCTGCCCTCCCCATCAAGGAGGCGAGGGATGTGTGGTTTTAGCCCTGATCCAGGCTTTTATCCCCAGGCCTCTGAGCAGGCACTGGGGGCCTGGGGCCCCCTCCTTGGGGAACTGAAAGGGAGGGGAGCCTCTTGTTGCACCAACCCTAGCCCCCATCTTCTCCCCAAAGATTTGTGCTCTGTGACACCCTCTGTGGCTTTGCCTGTTTAATCTTTCTGACTGTGTGTCTCCCCCTGCCTCAGTCTCTCACGGTGTCTGCCATCTCTCTCTGTCCCTGTCCTCGTCTTCCTCTCCCAGAATCTCTGGGGAGGTGGCCCAGGCTGTGATTTTGTACAAATTGGAGCTGAAAGCCACAGCAATGTCTCCCTTCTCCTACCCCCACCCCCCACCCCCCGCCCCCGTTCCACCTCTCCGTCTCTGGCCCCTGATGCTGCCTCTGGCTGTGGCTCAGTCCCATCGTGTCATTGTGTCTGCCCCCCCCCCCCCCCCCCACGTCTTGGGTCCCTGCTCTGCCCCATAGCTCTTCCTTTCTGTCTCTGTTCTGTTCCTCCGGCCCCAGCTCCTCAGCCCGTCTCTGCTTTGGGACATTACTGAGGCCTTGGCGTGTGGGGCCCTGTCCATCTTGCGCAGCTCCAGGGCCCCGGGCTCAGTGCAGGCCTGGCGCAGCTCACCGTTTCCCGGTGTCACCCTGACGGGCCCCTGCTGTGTCCTCAGGGCCTCACTCTGGAGCTCCTGCGTGGTGCTGCCCCTGCTGGCGCTCACCTGGATGTCCGCCGTGCTGGCCATGACAGACCGCCGCTCCGTGCTCTTCCAGGCCCTCTTCGCTGTCTTCAATTCTGCGCAGGGCTTCGTCATCACGGCCGTGCACTGCTTCCTGCGCCGCGAGGTGGGCTGGCCCCTCCTGCCCTTTCGCACCCGCCTTGCCAGGCCAGCGCGCTCGCTTCTCCCCACGTGCACACAGACAGGATGGAGCCCCCGGCCAGGCCTCTGGCTGGGCAGCCCTGAGTGTGGAAGCTGAGAGCCCGGGGCAGCCTTGTCCCTGGCCTCCTGATCCCCTGCTCCCCTCAGCCTTCCCCTAGGCTGGATGTGCTTCTGTCCTTCCAAACCCCTAGGTGGCTGGGTGCCTGGGTGGCTGGGTGGGAGGCACAGCCAGCTGTGGCCAGGGGCCCTGTGGCGGCCTCAGGCCAGCAGGCACCCACTGCTCCCAGGTCCAGGACGTGGTGAAGTGCCAGATGGGTGTGTGCCGGGCCGATGAGAGCGAGGACTCCCCTGACTCGTGTAAGAACGGGCAGCTGCAGATCCTGGTGAGTGACGAGGCCTGGCAGGGTGGGTTCTGAGCACACCCCCCCACCCCATTTCCCTGCTCCCAGCCCCTCACCTTCTCCATCCATGGCAGGGAGGGAACAGAGGCCAGGTTTGGTTCAGACTCAGCCACTGACCACTGGGTGGCATTGGGCAAGTCTCTCTCTTGTTCAATTTTTAAACCTGTCAAGTGGGGTTGGAGTGGACATGTCTGGGGTCCCCGGGGCTCTGTTGGGAGTGCCCTGGGTAGCACCTCTGGGTGGGTAGAGAGGGGACTGAGACCCCCCTCCCCACCCTGATACATTGATTCTCTCTCTGCCCATCTGCTCTGTCCCTCTCTGCCTATAGTCAGACTTTGAAAAGGATGTGGATCTGGCTTGTCAGACAGGTGAGTCTGCTGGCACAGAGCTGAGCATGATCCCCGGGGACGGCCAAAGAAGGGAGGGCCCCCAGCCCCACTGTTGGAGGCCCCGATAGGGGTCTGACAGTAGAGTTTAGCTTTAGAGCCAGGCAGCCCTTAGTGGATTCAAGGCTGTGAACACACCTACTGTGTACCTTTGGGCAGCCAGTTTTCCTCTCTGAGCCTTAGGTGGGTTAGGCGACATCAAGAGCCTAGCAGGGTGCTTGGCACATAAGCTGTTACAGTGTAGTATTATTTCCAGGGCTCTTACCAGATTCCCTTTCCAGCTCTGTCTCCTGGAGAGGAGCTGCCCAGGGAGGGGGAGGAGCAAGGCCCTGTGACAGCCTCAGGGCTGTGGGGTCAGAGGTCAGGAGCTGGCCTGTAGGAGTTGGGCCTTGGCTTTGTTCCTTGCGCTGCCTTGCTGTGGGTCTGTGGGCCAGTTGTTTTCTTAATTTCTCTGGTGCGGGAGAGAGTATCAATCATCCGGCCATCTCGCCAGTTTCCTTCTCTATCTGAGCTCAGGGGCTTGGTACCTGACCAGTCTGGGCAGGGGCGTCTTGGGGTTCCTCCTCCCCAGAACTTACCTCCCTCCCACTCCTGCCCCCAGTTCTGTTCAAGGAGGTGAACACTTGCAACCCGTCCACCATCACGGGCACCCTGTCCCGCCTGTCCCTGGATGAGGACGAGGAGCCCAAGTCCTGCCTTGTGGGTCCGGAGGGTGGCCTCAGCTTCTCCACGCTGCCCGGGAACATCCTGATGCCCATGGCAGCCTCGCCAGGGCTGGGGGAGCCGCCGCCCCCCCAGGAGCCCAACCCCGTGTACATGTGTGGGGAGGGCAGCCTGCGGCAGCTGGACCTCACGTGGCTCCGGCCGGGCGAGCCAGGCTCCGAGGGGGACTACATGGTGCTGCCCCGAAGGACTCTGAGCCTGCAGCCTGGCGGTGGGGGTGGAGGTGGTGAGGATCCCCCACGGACCCGGCCCGAGGGCACCCCCCGACGCTCTGCCAAGGCGTTGGCCCATACCGAAGGCTACCCCAGCTTCTTATCCGTGGACCACTCGGGCCTGGGGCTGGGCCCTGCCTATGGGTCTCTCCAGAACCCCTACGGGATGACCTTCCAACCGCCACCACCGACGCCCAGCGTCCGCCAAGTGCCCGAGCCGGGAGAGCGCAGCCGGACCATGCCCCGCACTGTGCCCGGCTCCACCATGAAGCTGGGCTCCTTGGAGGTAAGGGACTGTAGTGCCTGGGAGGCCTGCCACCAGGTGCCTGAGACTAAGTCCTAGGCAGCAGCCGGGAAGGGACAGCCAGCAACTGCCCCAGAGCAGCATCTTTGTACCAAGTCGCTGTGCATCTCTTCCTCTGTTAGTGCCCACGGCAAATCCACGGGAATCCTGGCTCCTCTGAACTCCTCAAGGGGGCTTGGACTTCACGCTCTGAGGGTGCCCTGTTCGATGCCTTCTCACTTGCTTTAGTGCCTGCTTGGGGGTGAACGGTTAGAATGGGTCTTCCTTTAAGGGGCCTGAGAGCCGGGCCTCCTGGTCACACAGATCTGGGTTCAGGTCAGAGCGCTCTGGTCAGCTGTGAGATGTTGAGCAAAATCTCTCTCTGAGCCTCAGTAGATCTCGCTTAGCATTCATAGCTCTGAGCCTCCTCATTTGTAAAGTGGAGATAACAGCAACTTCTTTGTGGATGGAGTTGCTGCGAGGACTAATTGAGTGACATAAAACATTGATCTCTGTGGGGCGGGTAGAAAGTGCTAGACGATGGGGGATCGCTGCGGTCATCATCCCTGAATCAGCCTCAGCACGGCCGTCGGCCTGTGGCAACTGACCCTCCCCTTTCTGAGAAAACGTCAGCCCCGCTCTCTGCCCACCTGTGTGGCTTCTGTGGATGCCCCACGCTCCCTCTGACCTCCTCAGACCTGCTCCCTGCACAGAGTCACTGGGAACAGGCAGACGGTAGTGATATAGAACTCTGGAACATTCTAGTTGGAGGGATGAGGGGTAAGGAAGGGGGCAGGAGTCAGGGCTCAGACACCGTTGGCTGCTCATGCTCGGCCTCAGAATCCTGCTCCCCATCCTCCGCACGAAGGAAGTTAAGTTAGCATCGAGGAGCTTCACAAGTTTAGATTTTTTCCCAAAATGTTTCTTGAACATTTGGTGCCTGCTCCTGTTACAGATGGCAAAACAGGAAGGCGTAACAAAGACAAAACCCAGTACCGGCATTGGGCTTGGGGGTGAGCTCAGCATCATGGTTTCCGTCTGTGGACACCTGCCTATGGTTGGACCACACAGGAGGGGCCAGCATTGGGCTCCTTGTGTGGGAGGTGGCAATAAATGTGGCAGCATCTTTAGGGGTCAAGGATGGCATCCCAAGTTCTGGTGTGCATAACTGCAAGAAGGCAGAGGTGGAGGAGTGGATTTGCGGTGGGCGGGGGGCGGGGGGCGGTGGTTTCTGAATTCATTCCGTTGGGCACAGCTGTGGGCATTGGGAAGGGAGAGGTGTGCTGCCTCCAGAAATAGAGGCGTGGCTGGGAGCAGGGAGAACACACATGCAGGAGGAGGTCCAGGGCAGACGTGCAGGGCCTAGTGCTGGGGAAGCCGGTGGAGGAAAGCAGGCAGCCAGGGGAGTGGTGCCCTGAAGGCCGGTGGTGGGGGACATGTCTGCAGGCCTGGGACTTGGGAGAGCTAGATGGTATTTTAGCGGCATCCTTGAGGGCCTTGGGGCAAGTCCCTTCTCCTCAACGGACCTCAGTTTCCCCAATGTAACCGGAGAAAGTTGGCCTTGGTTTCGTGAGTGCTCCGTGCCAACATTCTGAGACTCGAAGGCCTCCTCCTTGGGTGGCACTGGACACTGAGTGGGTTGTTTAGGGCCTTGGAGGTGGGTCTTGGGCAAATGAGGGCCAGAGAGGCCAGTGAGGGGGTGGGGAGGCCAGGGAGGCGGGGCCTGGTTTTTGAGGAAAAAGGGCAAGGCAGGGTTAAAAGGACTAAAAACCCTCGCCCTGTGTTTGCTGGACAAATGGAGGGCTCTGGGGGGGAGGGGAGCCCGGGGCTGGCAAGGAGAAAAGGGCAAGGCGGGCAGAGGGGTAGAATCCAGGGCATGGAGGCAGGAGCGTCTGCTCTGTGGCCCCGTGTGGGAATCGTGTCCCTGCCCCCTTGGGAGGCTGTACTGGGACATTGGCCCCATGTGCGGCTGCGCGTCTGCGAGTGTGCCAGTGTGTGCCTCCTGTGAGCGTCTGCCTGCATGTTGCATGGCAGGGTGGCCTGGGGCAGAGCTGCAGCCCTGTGGCAGGGTAGTGCCTTGGCTCCTCTTCTCCTCGTCCCCCAGGCCTCAGCCCCTCTCCCCACAACCCCGGGGGCTGCCTTTTAAGGACTCTGAGCTCCTGGGCCCAGGCAGTGGGCAGCCCCTGCGTGTGGTAATAAACTTTCTTCTCCTTCACGGCCTCCTTGCTGCTCCTTCCAGAGGAAGAAGCTGCGGTATTCAGACCTGGACTTTGAGGTCAGTGCTGTGTGTATGTGTGTGGTGAGGGGGTGAGGGTTGTCCCTGGAGGGTCCACTCCTGAAGTTAGCCCAAGCCCCACTGCAGAGCCTGACCTGTGGGGTCCTCCCAACATCCCTTCCCTGCCCTATCCTGTAGCTCTGGGTGAAGAGAGAGCTGGGCCTTGTCCCAGAGGGGCCAGCAACAGTCAGGGATGTGGGGACCCAGAGTGTGGGCCTGGTTCACGGTGCTGCCCCAGGCGGGCACCGCCTCTGACGCCCTGTGGCTCCCAGAAGGTGATGCACACCCGGAAACGGCACTCGGAACTCTACCACGAGCTTAACCAGAAGTTCCACACCTTCGACCGCTACCGCAGCCAGTCCACGGCCAAGGTGAGGGCTCTTCCTGTGGCTGCCCTGCCCGAAGCTCAGGGCCCAATCTGGTGCAGTGGCCGCGGGGGTCAGACCCTGACCCATGGCCCCCGTTACAGAGGGAGAAGCGCTGGAGTGTGTCCTCGGGTGGGGCGACCGAACGGACTCTGTCCAGCGTAAGTCCCCCTGGGCTGGGTGGGGGTGAGTGGGCTCTGTCCACCGCCCCTGCCTGGGCAAACTCAGCCTCCGCTGCCAAGGGCCTACCCACACCATAAACAACAGTTCTGGGGTTGCACGGGGATAGGGAGCATTGATGGGGGCTCCTCCGTGGTCTTGAGGAGCGTGGGCAGAGCACAGGAGTCAGGACCCCAACTCTGGAGCCAGGCAGATCAGGATGTGAACCCTATTTTGGCACCTGATTGCTTAGTAACTTCGTGCATCACTAGCATCACTGGCTTTCTCTGGGCCTCCTCAGTTTGTTGTTCTGTGCAGTGGGTGAGAAGGTATCGCTCCATCTCCATGGGCCCTTCCTGCTCCCTCCACAGGAGAAACCCAGTCCGGGGGAGCGTCCTAGCTTGTCCCAACATCGGCGACATCAGAGTTGGAGCACCTTCAAGTCTATGACGCTGGGCTCACTGCCCCCCAAACCCCGAGAACGGCTGGCCCTGCACCGGGCAGCGGCCTGGGAGCCCACAGAACCACCGGATGGTGACTTCCAGACAGAGGTGTGAGTGCCACGCCAGACTGCCCTCTGCGAATAAAAATACATATATCTCTCTATTTTCACACTCCACTTTGGAACTACCCGGGAGCCAGCGCCCCCTCCCCTCTCCCGAGGGCTGGGCAGGACGTGCGGTGGACTCAGCTGGTCTGGGGGAGCCAGACTCGGTGTCGCCTGGCGGGGGCCAGGGCCCTTCCCTGTTTCTTAGGGGCCCCTCAGGCACTGGAGCCCCATCTTGGCCCCAGCCTGTCTGTCTCTGTCCTGGGCTGGGGAGGGGGGAGGGGAACTTTGTTGGGAATAAACTTCACTCTGTGGATTTTGCTGCTGAGCTGTTTGCTTCCCTCAGGGGAGGGCCCAGCCCCGGGATCCCAACAGCTTTGTTTATCTCCTCCGTTCACCTCGCTTGGTCTCATCAGAGTGTGTGATGGGTCAGTCCAGCCCTGAGTTGGAGTGAGGGGCGCCTGGGCTCTGACCCTGTCTTTGCCCTGGAATCCTTGGGTGACCTGGGGCACACCCCTTTCCCTGTTGAGACCTGGGGTTAGCAGGTTGGGAATGTAGGTGGGGCCCCTTGCAGCTGGCCTTCCCCAGTGGCTGTGATGGTTGTGGCTGCCTTTCCCTGGGGCCCAAAGGCCAGACTTGAGTGACCTCAGTTTCCCCATCCATGAAATGGCAATGGTACTAATCCTCACTGAAAGGTCTGGAGTGGGCCGGGGTCGCTCACCTATGACATGAGGCCATAACGTATCGAAAGCGATTTTATTCCCGACACCTGGGTGCAGGTGGGCTGAGATCGAGAAAGGCATCAGCGGGAGAGCAGGGAGAGATAGGTTTTTATTAATTTTTGCTGGCTGCAAGCCGCTCTGCTGATGCAGGGTCTGGTCCGTCCTTGGTTCCTCCCAGGCCAGGTGTCTTCTGGTTATCTGAGCTATGCTGTGCTCAAGGCTGCAAGCTTTCTGCAAGGTATCTGCTAAGCACAATACGTTTTTCTTTGCCCCGTTTTATCTTCTTTAACCCTTTCACTTACCTCTTCGGGTTGTTATGAGGATAAAACAAATGACTATGTAAAAAGCATAGTGAGTGCCTGGCACCGAGTAAGCTCTGTAAGTATCAGCTGTTAGTCCTTGGCACGTGGTCTCGTGTTAGGAGCTTCACACACACAGCCCCTGACCCCTCACCACAACCTGGCTGGAAGGTTTTAGGTTGCCCATTTTGTGGATGGGACAACGAGGCCAGAGATGGGTGTGACTTGCTCACGGCCACAGTCAGAGGCAGGGCTGGGACTTCACCGTCATTAATATCCCCTGGTAGGACAGGGAGCTTGAGCTCAGCTTCTCGGTACCTGATCTTCATGGCTGCAGGGAGCGGGGTGTGGTGGAGCCTCAGGTTCCAGGGCTCAGGGTGGTGTAGGGGGAAGGGGCAGGCTGGCTTGGTGTCAGAGGACCAGGACAGGAGGCTCATTGCTGGGGCATGTTCTCTACATGCCTGAGTGAACCCAACCTTCCTCACTGGGTATCCAGAAATCAATGTGAGCTTATTCATGGGGAGCATTTTGCAAGGGATATCTACCCCTCCCTGGTTATTCCTTCCTGGGCCTGGGTACTATTCTAGGACCCCAAGTGGGAAGCCAGTCCTGGGTGCTGTCCAGGGTCCTGAAAGTGACCCGCTGCCCTCCCAAGAGAAAAGGAGACTGCCTGAGAGGCTCACCCAAGCTCAGCTGCAGCCTCTCCTTGCCTTCCAGACTGTGGCAGGGTCATAGGTGAGCAGACAGCCTAACTCATGATCAAATTATCAGCAAGATGCTTTTTTAAAAAATATATATTTTTTTATTGATCTCAGAGAGGAAGGAAGAGGGAGAGAGAGAAACATCAATGATGAGAGAGAACCATTGATCGGCTACCTCGTGCATGCCCCACACTGGGGACTGAGCCCACAACCTGGGCATATGCCCTTGACCAGAATTGAATCTGGGACCCTTTATTCCGCAGGCCGACACTCTATTCACTGAGCCAAACCAGCTAGGGCTCAACATTCTTTTTTTGTACTACATCTTTTTTTTTAAATTTATTTTTTATTTTATATATTTTTAAATCTTTATTGTTGAGATTATTACAGATGTCCCTCTCCCCCCGACCCCCCACTGTCTCCTTCCACCTGGCTCCAGCCCTGCCCCAGGCCTTCACCACCCTATTGTCTGTGTCCCTAGGTAATGCATATATACATATAAGATCTTTGTTTAATCTCTTCCCACCCCACCCCCCTTCTCTCTGAGAATTGTCAGTCTGTTTCATTTCCATGCCTCTGATTCTATTTTATTCACCAGTTTATTCGTTTATTCTGTTCATTAGATTTCTTATTCATTTCTTTTGATTTTTAGATTCAATTGTTGATAGGTATTTATTTGTTGCCATTTTGTTGTTCATATTTTTTATCTTTTTCTTCTTCCTCTTCTTAAAGAATACCCTTCAACATTTCATATAATACTGGTTTGGTGGTGATGAACTCCTTTAGCTTTTTCTTGTCTGTGAAGCTCTTTATCTGACCTCCAATTCTAAATGATAGCTTTGCTGGGCAGAGTAATCTTGGTTTTAGGTCCTTGCTATTTATCACTTGGAATATTTCTTGCCACTCCCTCTGGCCTGTATAGTTTCTGTTGAGAAATCAGCTGACAGTCAGTCATATGGGCATTCAGTTGTAGGTAACTAACTGCTTTTCTCTTGCTGCTTTTAAGATTTTTTGTCTTTTGCTCTTGGCATTTTAATTGTGATGTGTCTTGGTGTGGTCCTCTTTGGGTTCCTCTTGTATGGGACTCTCTGTGCTTCCTGGACTTGTAAGTCTATTTCTTTCACCAGGTAGGGGAAGTTTTCTGTCATTATTTCTTCAAATAGGTTTTCAATATCTTGCTCTCTCTTCTTCTGGCACCCCCATAATATGAATGTTGGTACACTTGAAGTCCCAGAGGCTCCTTACACTATCTTCATATTTTTGGATTCTTATTTCTTTTTACTCTTCTGGTTGGATGTTTGTTTCCTCATATTTCACATCATTGCTTTGATTATCAGAATCTTCCAGTCTACTGTTGAATCCCTGTATATTATTATTTATTTCAATTAGTGTATGCTTAATGTCTGACTGGTCCTTTTCCATGTGTTGGCCTCACTAAGATCCTTGAAAGTTTCACTAACTCCCTTGGATATTTCTAGAAGATTCTTGAGTAACCTTATAACTGTAGTTTTGCTCTCTATACCCAGTAGTTTGCTTTCTTCCATACCTTTCATTTGTGACATGTTTCTTTGTCTCTGCATTTTGGCTGCTTCCCTGTTTGTTTCTATGTATTGGGTAGAGCTGCTATGTCTCCTTGAGTTGGTAGAGTGGCCTTGTGTAGTAGGTGTCCTATAGGGCCCATGGCTCAGCCTCCCCAGTCACCTGAGCTGGGAGCTCTAGATGCGCCCCTATGTGGGCGGTGTGCACAGTCTTGTAGTTGAGACTTGATTGCTGTTGGTGTCACTGGGAGGAATTGACCTCCAGGCCAATTGGCTGTGGGGACCAGCTGCGGCTACAATGGGAGAGCTGCTGTGCAGGAGACACCCCTATGGAGCAGGACTTGCTTCAGTGGGGCTTTGGTGCTCACTGAGTCTGCCCCTTAAGTGTGTCACTTATGGATGTGTACAGTTGTAATCTGGAATGGCCTGACACTGACCACTGGGTACACTGGCTCTTGGGTCTCCGGGGAGGTGCAAAGTCAGCCATTGCCTGGGGCCACACAGCAGGAGCTACAGAGAGATCTGCAGATTCCACCTCTTTATATACAGTTTGGAAGTGCCCACATGAGGCCCAGCTGGGAAGCAAGGAAGGCTGGTGCTAGTGCCTGGTCTTGGGCCTTTTATTGATAGGTTTGGGACTCCCTGACCCAGCTGCAGCTTGTTTGAGATTTTCAAGGACAGGCCATTCATATGCAAAAGCTGCTGCAGGCAGCTGGGGTGGGGTTGTAAATTGGATGAGGCTGGGTCTTAGAGAATCACCAGGGCGGAGCAAGCAGAAATGGCTGCCAGTCAGCCCTGCGACCAGGGAGGACCCGGCAAGGAACAATGATCCCTGTGAGTGCCTCTGTCTGGGAGAAAGCCACCCCCAAGTTCCTGCCCCGATGCCAGACAAATGTGTCCCCCAGAGCCTCACCATGGTGCTGGAGCTCAGAGGAAGCAGGACCTTGTAAGTTCAGTTCATGGTGCCGGCCTTTTAAGAGGAACAGCTGGGCCTCCAGCAGCCTCAGTGCCACTGAGCTCTAACCCACACTGGTTTTTACAGTCGCAGTTACAGGGACTTCTTTTCCAGCTCTGGGACTCTGGGCTGGGGGTCTGGTGTGGGGCTGGGACCCCTTGCTTCTCCGGACAGTCTCCAAAGAGACAATCTCCCTCTTGATTAAAGAAGTGGCTCACGTGGGTGCAGGACCAGTCCGTTCCACGCCTCTGTACCTCCTACCAGTTTCAGTGTGCTTTCTTCTTTACTTCTCTAGTTGTAGGACTTCCATTCAGCCTGCTTTCCAGTGGTTCTGGATGACGGTGGTTCTGTATTTTAGGGGAGGCGGCAAGTATAGGCATTTACCTATGCCGCCATCTTGGTTCCTCTCCTGTACTACATCTTTGAAATCTAGTGTGCCTTACATGTGCAGCACATCTCAATTCAATCTGGCCACGTTTTGAGTGCTCCATAACCACATGTGGCTAGTGGCTACCGTATTGGATAGCACAGCTCCAGAAAAGGCAGTGACCTTGGACAAGTCGATGCTGTGTCCTCTGTGAAAAGGAGGTATGAGTCCTACCTTGCATCCCTGGATCCTGGTGAGGGCTCAAGTGGTGAGGGAGGGAAGGATCCCGGCCCTGAGCCAGCGTTCCTGGAATCTACAGGTGGGCAGGGAGGGGAAGCAGAAGGAGGTCTTGAAACCCGTGGACTGGTATTGGGCCTACCTTAGCAGAGCTGGGGGAAGCTATACTCCTCCTCCTCCAACAAGCACCCCTGGAGCCTGCCTTCCCTCTTCCCACCTATTGCCCCAGACCCCGGGGGAACGGGGGCAGATGGGACTGGCACTTGAACAGACACATTAAAACTCACTTGGATTTAATTTCCTTCCATTAGATACCAAATAAAATGAACTTAAGTGGCCTAGGTGGCCTGGGGGAAAGCCTGGTTGTGGCATGCTGCCAACTCCTGCTTCTCTGGACTAATTCCCCTTGAGGCATTCTCTTGCCCATCACAGCAGCTCATGGATCCACAGTTGGGGTTTTTCAGGGCCATCTCCAGTATTCCCATTAT